TACTGCGCAGTAGTATTAGGCTACTGTGCAGTAGCGTCACAAAAAAGACATTCATCAGCGCTACTGTGCAGTCACTTGGGTTACTGCACAGTCCTTTAGTACTTGTTTATATAAGTACTAAAGGACTGTGCAATAATAACTGTGCAGGCAGCATCTCATGTAGATGCAGCTAAGCAGTACCAAACATCATGTGCAAAAAAGTAAGAAAGTTAAGTCATTACCACATGGAAAGCATAAGTTATTTCGGATTCATTTATATTCTCAGCTTTACATTAATTCTTTTGTAGTGAATATGAAAGTAGATACGAACCTCACCCTTGTGGTGTTCAAAGAATCCCATTAGAAGTTCTGCTTCCTAGCATCAATCAAAATGAATTATCTGGTGCTTTAACGCTGCTTTACAATGTTACACAACACTGTATTTTCACTTGAAGCAAAAGCAAAAGAAAAAGAAGATATTCACCACTTTTTGGATATCCTGCTGATAACACATCATCACTCCTGGCTTCAAAGGACTCAAGCGCTACAAAAGTCTCTGGGCTGCACAATAAAACAGGGTACAATACCCCTTTGTAAGAAAACACATTCTCCTCTGGTGGCATGTTCTGGGCAAGAGCCATGATCCTGTCCAACTTTTCAGTTAATGCTTTCCTACTGGAAGTCATTTTCACCTTTCTCTAGCTGTGAGATTCTTTACAGGCAGAGGCAAAAATTGCCTTTTAAGAGATTTGTACCTTGGTAGGACAGGTGATCAACATTAGATGACTCCTCCTACTTATTTATGAGGAATGTTGTAATGAACTGTAGTTGTAGCATTGCTGCCAGCTCTTCAAATTCTTTCTGAATCACGATTTCCTCTCCTGCTGTACCACCTCTGGCAGTGACACAGAGTTATGACCTGAAGCAATTTGGATGAAGGTGGATGCACACACTCCCCTGCCACTTCCAGCCACAGTTCACTGAAAGCTGGAATTTCTATGGCACACAAATGCCAAAATTCTTTTTTTTTAATCTTTAAAAAAGCCAAAATTTCCATTTTGGAATAAAATTAAAAGAAAAATAAACTATTACTATAATTTAAACATTTCATTTAAAAATATCATTTCAAAACTGAGACTAAGAATCCAAGATGAAAGGCTGCAGTGTGGCTCCAGGACCCTTAGCACTTGTTTCCCAACCAGCCAGCCGATTGGCAGGGTGCTGGGTCCTATGAGTGAGCCAGGAGACTTTGATTTTGATAGCCAGGGCTCCCAGGCTCTATGATATAGATGTACCCATAGAAAGTAGGAAAGCAAGTGCAATGCCAGTCTTCTTAATTTTAAAAACATAAGAGTCTTTAAAAAAAATTTAAAAATCATTCCTTTTAGTCTAATTTGTGATTTTGGGGCATCTGATTCGTAGCTTATGAACTACTGGGGAAAGCCAAAAACGGATAGTGCCACTCACACCTAAACTTTGTGTAACAGCATGCCAATGTGGGCTCACCAGATTGGCTTGAGATATTTACCCTGGGCTAGAAACAGTGCGGGTGAACTCTGAGCAACCCCAAGGGTGGAGCCGGGGAGCCCTGCCCTGCGGAGAAGAAGCCAATGGAAAGAAGGGGTTTTCAGACCCCTCATTCGCATGGAAGGGGGATGACTGGAGTGGGGGGCCAGCCACCCTGAGCCCTGGTTGGCCGGTTTGCAAGCCAGGGAGGGTCTGCTGGAGGAGATAAAAGCAGCAGCTGAACTGGCGTGTGGGGGGGGGCTGCTGATAGTGACTCTAGGGAATGATGCAGGAGACCTAAGAAGAGCTGGGGTGAGCTAACCCAGCAGAGGGAGCAGAAAGACCCCTCTGAAGAGCCTCAAAGGCCCTGGGAGAAGAAGGCAGGGGCAGTCAGCCGTGCCTCCAGCCCTGCATCAGAGAGGGAGCCGCAACCAGGGTTTGGGGCAGACAGCTGGTGCCCCAAGGCCCCACCACAGCGTGCTGGATGTGCCAGGCATCCCGGAGGCCAGGGGTGGCAGTCAGCCCCCCTCTCCACTGCAGAGAAGAAGCAGCAGCCAGAAGCGTAAGCAGCATCCTTATCCGGAGCAGGGAGCTGAGCCGGTGAGTTGAGGAAACCCCTTACCTTCCTGGGGAAGTGGGACAGCAGCAGGCAAGGCTTTGGGATCCTGAGGAGCAGCAGAGCACTAGGACGAGGGTCCCTGGGAGTTCAGGGCACAGGGCAGCGCTTGGAGCGGGATTGGTGAGCCGCGAGCTGCATGGGGTGCCAGCCAGTCATCTGGAGCAGGAGTTTAGAGCAACGACCCCTAGGAGCTGCCTGTACTGCTGACCCTCTGCCACTGACTGCCCCAGAGGGGAGGGACTCAGTCCTGTCCCTTATACTGCAGCTGATTGTCATTGGATGGAGTCCCTGAGCTTTGTGCTTGGGTCCTGCTGATTGCTGTGGGAGCCTACTCAGTTGCTTGTTGCTTGCCTTTTTGGTTGCCATGGAGGGTCAACCTTCAGTTTCTTTGGTGGGGTTGGGGTTTGATACAATCTGATTGCTGCAGACCAGAAGAGCTTAACCTGTTGCAGCCTGACGCTTATTGGCAAGCCTGTTGGAGCTGCTGAGAGTGACCACCTTGCTGCCTTGTGGTAGCATCTCAGCAGTGGCTGAAAGCTGCCAGTTACCCAACCTGTGGTTCTTGAGTCAAGGGTTGACTAATGCATTCTGGTTTGTTTTGTGATTCTGGTTATGCCATTTAATTTCACTTGTAAATAACCTTTTCTATTATATTTGTTTTGTAAATAAAGTGTAAATAGTTAAATCAGTTAAGTGTTAGACCTTCTTGGGACCATGGGCTGCTCTGTGGGGAGCAGGGCTGGCTGAAAAGTAAATTGGTGCTGGCCAGAAACCCTGCCCCACTCACCACACCATCTCTGATATTGGGCAGGGGTGGCAAGTATTGGGCCGCTACCCAAGTTACATTTGTTTAATGTTTTTTTTCTATCACACCCCACTAGAACAGCTAATTGTGGGAAATGGCAAGCACAATTAGCTTCAGCACTAAAGCAACAGGAACCAGACTACAGCAGGTTAAAGCAGGGGTCAGCAACATTTTTGGGCAGAGTGCCCGAAACACCCGTGACCTCAACTTGTAAGTTGTTGTTGGCATGCCAGGGGCAGTTGGTGGGGAAGCCACGAGGGGCCCGATTCTTGTAGTGGTGGTGCAGCCCTGGCCTCTTCCCTGCTGTCTGCCCCAAGGCGCATGTGCCAAGCAAAATGCCTTTAAGTGCCACACTCTGGCACCCATGCCTACCCCTGAGTTAGAGACTACTCTAGACATTAGTGGTTTTCATATCAGCTGGGCCTGAGGAAATTCACTTATGACACCTGCTGAAGCAATCTTAACTGTTAGCAATTATCTTTGAGAATTCCTGGAGAGAGTCCATCAAACTGGAAGAGGGCAAACAAAATGCTTATCTTTAAAAAGGGTAAAAAAAATGATGATCCGTTAAATTACAGACCAGTCTGTGTACTACAAAAGATAATGCACCAAATAGTTAAACGATCTATTCGTAAGCTACTAAATAACATTGTGCAAAAGCAAGCTGTTTTACTTTCATGACAGACTTTTCAGACCTTGTGATTAGAGATGATCTTTTTTTGTTTTTAGTAAAACTTTCTTGATTGTTTCACGTGAAATTTCATAAGCAAGCTAATGAAATTTGATCCAGTTATCAGTATAGTTTTTCAGTTATCAGTGGTTCACTGTCAAGCTGGAAGGATTTATCAAGGGAGGTTCTGAAGGGTCTACTCTGGGTACCATAAAGTTCAGTCAACCTGAACCTAATACTTCTTTGAGCTAACGTGATTAAAGCAAACCAATTTCTGCAGCTTACAGTACACACGGGAGTGGTGTGACTGGCATCACATACAACTGCTTTCAACCCCCCAGCCCAAATGACCAGATACCCATTTACAGTTGGATTGACTGGGGGGAAGCTTTTGGCATGAGTCCAAAGGAAGGCTTGAATTCACACTGCTGGAGCCCTCTCAAAAAAAAATATTGTCATGAATTATTTGGATGATACACATTTCCTGATGATAACCAGCTGGAAGCACAGTGGAGAACAGGATCAGAATTCAAAATAACCTTGGCAATTTGGAGAAAAAAATCTGACATAAATGGGACACAATTGAGAAATACTATGCATAATTAGGAATAATCAATTGTATAAATACAAAATAGGAAATGATTGTCTGGTCAGTTGTTTTGCAGAAAAAGGTTTGGAGGGTTATCATGGATTACAAATGGAATATAAAACAACAAGTTCATACTGTTCTGAATCAAATATCACAATGAGATGCATAGAAAAAAAGTGTCATATAAAATAGATATGCTACTGAGCACAGATAGTGGCAGGTCATGGCCTTGAACCAGGGACTTCAGCCTGCCTTGCACAGCTGCTTATCCCAGTCTGCAGCCTCCTTATTTGAGCAGTAGGGCAGATACAGATGGTCAGAGCCCAATGTCTGGACCTAGCCACCTGCCCATTCCCTACAAATGGAGCAGATTGCCAAGGTCAGCTGACCCTTTACCCTCTTCTATAAAAGGGTAAAGTGTCCGGGCAACAAACCTCAATCTTTTATCAAAGCTGCCTCACCCACCCTTGACTTGTGCCATGAGTGGCTGTCTGGTGGATTCTCTGGCTACCCAACATGGCTTTTCCATGGACCCTTAGTTTGGCCTGGCCCTTTGGCTCCCTAACCCAACTCTAGTTTGAGCTTCTGGATGCCCAACCCTTCTGACCCTGTGCTGTGTCAGACTCTCTGGATTTCTGACTCCATTTTCCAGACAGATCTTCTGGTTTCTCACTTCCTGGCTCCCCTACACTCAAACTCTGTACACTCCCCTTGGATCTTGGTTGCTTCTTGTACCCCTGGGTGACCCCCAGACCTGATCACCCATGACCCAGCATGACAGGTAAGGCCTTAGCTGAAAAGCTGAGTCCAGTTTTAGGTACTGAATTTCAAGAAAGATATAACAGGAGACAAGGAAAGCTTAAACTTCATAGACCAGGGATGTCAAACTCAGATGGCCATGCAGGGCAGATGAGTTGTGTAGAGCCAATCTATAGGCCAGATCAGACCCATGGACCTGCTCCCTTTATCTCTTCTCTTTTCCCTTCCCCTCTGTGCTCCCTACTCTCCCAGTACCTGATCCAGCAGCTGCTCTAGCTAGTTTGGGATGTGCACTGTGTGAGGGGTGGAACCTAGAGCAGCCAGAATGGGCACTGCATATGCCTCAGCCTGGTCAGAGTGGCACCTGCAGACTGTGCTGCATGTGGCACCTGCTGTGGCAATTCCAGGACTGCATGGCACACAGTGCCTGCTCCAGTCAGTCCAAGGCAGGCTGGAGCAGACACCATATGCAGCATGCATCCCAAATGCCCAGCCACTGCTGCTCCCTGGGTGGGCTCAGCCCAGAGAAGAGCAGCACCCTGGTGGTGGTAGTGGCCAGGCAGGACGGTTAACCCTTTCCTGCCTGCTCCCCTGGGACAGACAGCATGGGCAGCCACTTGTAATCAGTGTGGGAGGAGCCCTGGGGATGGGGCAGTGGAGGGAGTAGGGAATCCTTACCTTTCGGTCCTCCAGGCCCCTGCTGGCCTGAATGTGTGACTGCTCCAAACTCGAGTTAGCACCAACACTCATCAACATTTGTACAGCTCACAGTATAATGTGTAACAAGGCCCTACCTCTCTCTGCTCAAGAAAGGTGTTAACCAATTAGAAAAAAGAGTCCCCAAGAGAGCAAGTCTGGGGAACATGAT